GTGAAGACCCGAGTTGTAGACCCGAGTTTATAGCAGCGATGTCAGACAAGATATGAATGTTTTTTTGGGCTCAAATGAAAGAGCGGGTCGAGAAATGACGTGCTAGAGCCTCTAAACATGACAAATGTCTCTAAAGATGATATCTGTTTTCAATTGAAAAGCAGAGTTGTGACATCATTGTCTAGGAGGACAATGGGGTCTAGGAGTATGTATAGAACATTGGGGTCTAGGAGTCTCCCCTGGTTCAAAACCATCTTTAGAGGTCCTAGCACGCCATTTCTCGACCCGCTCTTTCGTTTGAGCCCAAAAAAACATTCATATCTTGTCTGACATCTTTGCTACAAACTCGGGTCTTCAACTCGGGTTTTCAATTGAAGGCCCGAGTTGTAGACCCGAGTTTGTAGCAGCGATGTCAGACAAGATATGAAGGTTTTTTTGGGCTCAAATGAAAGAGCGGGTCGAGAAATGACGTGCTAGAGCCTCTAAACATGACAAATGTCTCTAAAGATGATATCTGTTTTCAATTGAAAAGCAGAGTTGTGACATCATTGTCTAGGAGGACAATGGGGTCTAGGAGTATGTATAGAACATTGGGGTCTAGGAGTCTCCCCTGGTTCAAAACCATCTTTAGAGGTCCTAGCACGCCATTTCTCGACCCGCTCTTTCGTTTGAGCCCAAAAAAACATTCATATCTTGTCTGACATCTTTGCTACAAACTCGGGTCTTCAACTCGGGCCTTCAATTGAAAGCCCGAGTTGTTTTTTAGTCCGATTATTTTTTAGTTTTCGTTGCCAATTTTAACTGCATTCAATATTTCCATTTTCTGCGTTTGAAAATACAAAAAAAATGCATTCGAGGAAATCGTCGGGCCAATGTCACCTTTTGAATTCTTGGAAATCTGCATTACCCGCCCACCCGATTGCTCCGTATTACCAACCGAGCTGCAGCTGCCGGCCCTCACATCCGCGTATAAACGTGTAAAAGAAGAAAGAGTTCCCCGTGACTTTCGCCGGTTTTAAATTCACTCCCAAGGATCTCGAGGTCCCAGACAGCCCCCAGGACTGACCGTCTCACCAGGCACCCCCAGGATTAACCAGCAACGAGGAAATCCTAGAAAGTATGTAAACAGGCCTGTTCTCATCGTTTTTGCGAACCCCTCACCTCCATTTCACTCTCCCAATTCACTCCCGCGATTGTCCCTCGACCACTGTGTTATCCCCCGAAGACTTCCAATATTTCTTCCTCCGAGCGTCGAGGGACAAGTGTTGGATGATAATTTTGAAGTGCTAGGGGGTTAGAGTTCTCTCGGTGGAGTCCAGAGGAGTCGTTGCTCCACGAACGCGTGGGACGCGCCAACTTGCCGTAGATCCGAGCGGACTGAAGCTGCACGAAGTTTATTTTCTCCAGTGCTTTTTCGCCCTCAAGCCCCTTGCCCTCGTGTCCCACCGAAGTCGAGGGAATTTATTGGTAAAATCGATTTGTTTTCGTTCTGTGCAGATTATAATGTCGGGAATTGCGAGTGCTCGGCTGGCGGAGGAGAGGAAAGCGTGGAGGAAGGATCATCCATTTGTGAGTATCATTTATTCTTTGAGTGACGTGTCCACGGGGTTTAGGCGGGAGAACCCCTTCATTGGGTTTTGTGGGAATTCGGAATTAGGGGTTTTTAATTGTTGGCGAGGAGGGAGGGAGGGAGGCGAGTGTTGGTGACAGTCTTGGGGGAGTCTAACCTCACTTTTTCGCAGTAGCACAAGACTGAGGGCAGAATCCATGTTGTATTGGTAAAATAGAGAATTTCGAGGTTTTTAAAAATGTTTATTATTTATTGAATCGTTATTGGCATGAGATTATTTTTTTTAATGGAAAATGTAGGGGAGGTTGGGGTAAAATGGACACTTTTGACTTTTTTTCAAATGTTAATAACAATTATAACAATAATAATTTGTTTCTGAGTTATGAGTAATTTTAAAAAAGTCCAAAGTGTCCATTTTACCCCATCCTCCCCTAATCATTTTTCCTTGTGATGAGTCTAGATTTTTATAACTCAGTAAATTCATCAATTGAGTGAGCTCAATTGATGAATTTGCTTGAAAGTTATAAAAATAAAAAAAGTCAAATGCAGAATCAAACTTGAAGTGAGGAAATAGAGAATTTTGAGTTTTTTTAAATGTTTATTATTCATTGAATTGTTCTTTGTATGAGATATTTTTTTTTTAATAGCCTAAACTGAACTCAATTGATTAATGTGTTTGGGAGTTGTAAACATTGAAATAAAGTCAAGCGTCGATTTTGCCCTTTTTTAATGTTAATCACTTATTGATAATGGCATGAGGTCATTTTTTTTTGAAAATTTAATTTTTTACTTTTGTGATGAGTCTAGACTGAGCTCAATTGATGAATTTGCTTGAAAATGATGAAAATTGAAAAAATCAAGTGCAAAATCAACCTTAAAGTAATGAAATAGAGAATTTTGAGTTTTTTTTTATTGTTTATTATTCATTGAATTGTTGTTGGTATGAGATAATTTTTTTTTAATGGAAAATGTAATTATTTTCCCTTGTGATGAGCCTAAACTGAACTCAATTGATTAATGTGTTTGGGAGTTGTAAACATTGAAATAAAGTCAAGCGTCGATTTTGCCCTTTTTTAATGTTAATCACTTATTGATAATGGCATGAGGTCATTTTTTTTTGAAAATTTAATTTTTTACTTTTGTGATGAGTCTAGACTGAGCTCAATTGATGAATTTGCTTGAAAATGATGAAAATTGAAAAAATCAAGTGCAAAATCAACCTTAAAGTAATGAAATAGAGAATTTTGAGTTTTTTTTTATTGTTTATTATTCATTGAATTGTTATTGGTATGAGATAATTTTTTTCAATGGAAAATGTAATTATTTTCCCTTGTGATGAGCCTAAACTGAACTCAATTGATTAATTTGTTTAGAAGTTATAAACATTGAAAAAAATAGTCAAGTGTCCATTTTGCCCCACCTACATTACTGAAACTGCATGTAAATCATCTGAATTCATAGATTTCCTCATCTTCATTATTAAATTATGAAATTAACTCTTCTAGCTGATTTACATTGTTTTTACAAATTTATCATTAGTGTTTTTAATTTATTATCCATTCTTTCGCATTTTTTGATCCTCTTCACGTGATGTTTTTTCAGGGCTTCGTTGCACGCCCAACTAAAAATCCTGATGGAACATTGAACCTCATGAGCTGGGAGTGCGCTATTCCTGGAAAGAAATCGGTAGGTGTTGAGTTTCATTACGATTTTTTTGTTAGATCATTTTGCAGGTATCTGTAGCAAAAAAGAAATGAAAATTCTACAGCTTCAGGGATGTTTGCAAAAAAAATTAATTGATCATTTTGGAAATGGCTCTGAGAAGATAAAATTTAGAGAGAAATATCCAGAAAATTTCAATCAGAGAAATTCGTGATAAATCCTGTGATTTCAGAAATATTTTGAATCTGATTGGGGAAACAAAATTAGAAAATGCTGCAGTAGCTTTAATTTGTCGATTATTTTGCAAATATCTTTGGAAGATATTTATTGAAAAACAAGAACTTTTTCATGAGTCTCTGCAAATTTTTTGCTAGAAATGATAGTTTCTTCAGAAAATTCACAAAATGATCTGCATGAATCACACTCTCACACTCTGTCACACTCTCTCATCACGCTCTGTAATTGTTTACAAATTATTTAAATTATAGACCCCATGGGAAGGTGGCCTCTACAAGCTTCGAATGATCTTCAAGGACGACTACCCATCAAGCCCCCCAAAATGCAAATTCGAGCCACCACTCTTCCATCCAAATGTCTACCCATCAGGCACAGTCTGTCTCTCACTTCTGGATGAGGAGAAGGACTGGAGGCCTGCAATCACGATTAAACAGATTCTCCTGGGTATCCAGGACCTTCTCAACGAGCCCAACGTCAAGGATCCAGCACAGGCAGAGGCCTACACCATTTACTGGTGAGTACAACCTTCAAAGCAAAAAAAGGAAATGAAAAAACACGTGAAAAAATTTTTAATGGAATTATTCAATGGATGAAAAAAATTGTAATGGAATTTATGAGAAGAAGCACTGGATTTATCTGTAAATTGTTTCACGTGTAGAAATCCTTCAGACACATCAGCATTTTTCGTTTCCATTTTCGATAACAAAATTAATTGAAAAATTAATTGAAATTAAAATTCTTTCAGTCAAAATCGTTTGGAGTACGAGAAGAGGGTGCGAGCACAGGCCAGAGCAATGGCGCCTCAAGAATAACTTCCAGAGTCCATTAAAGAAACTACTTTCTATGAAGCTAAAATTAAATTCCAACATGCGATATGCACAAGACAATTCTACCATGTCTGTGTCTCCCTAAACTTTCCGATTCTAGAAGTAAGCTCTTGAGTAATCATTAGTGCTGGTATTGACGTTCTAACATATGTATAAAAAAATAATCTATCATCATTGAACTTCACGGTTATTCACATTTTCGTTCTTTTTCTATTCATTTCAGTTTAAGTAAAACGTCTCTAGAGTTTAAGGCAGACGCATTTTTCCAATTTCGTAGTTACTGCACGTGCGAAGGATTTTGATAGAGTTGTCTAGGAAATTCTATTTGTTTTTCAACGATTTCATTGATGAATTCCTTTAAATGGGGTTTTCAAATAGAAATGTTCAATGGGGAATATTTTTGGGAAATAGTAATGGATTATTTTGTTGAGATTTTTTTTAAAGAAAAGTTCTCTTCATTATTTTTTTTATTTTTTGGAAAGACAATAGAATAGTGAAAACTTGGAGAATTTAGAGAGGAATTTCTGTAGAAAACATCGCAAGAGAATAATTTATTTAAAAAATTTTAATCCTATCAATTTTTCTTTATAAAGTATTTTCAATTTAATATATTAATTTCTAAAAAACAGGAATTCTTCAATAGAATCGATGAAAAACCAATAATTTCGAATAGAAATCCGACGAAATGTCCGACATTTTCCTATTCCATTTGTTCACTCGTGAAATAGAAATGTTCAATAGAAAATATTTCACAGATTATTTCGCTGAGATTTTTCCTATGAAAATTCGTCTCCATAAATCTCTTCATTTTCCCGAGAAGAAAGTAGAATATTGAAAACTTGTAATTCCTACAGGAAATATCTCAAGAGAATAATTTACGAAAAAAAAAAAAATTATAAATTTTTCTCCATCAAATATTTTCTACTGAACATATTAATTCCTAAAAACGAGAATTTTTCAATAGAATCGATGAAAATCCAGCGATTTCGAATAGAAATCCATTGCAATTTCCTAGATTTTTCAATTCCATTCAATCACTCGTGAACCCACCATAAACGCACTGAGAAGTGCCATCAAATTCCATCTCGATAATACAGAAGAGAAATTAATCTTATTATCAATTAAAATTCTGTACAAATACGATAAAAATAAATCTTGTATCTCGTAAAATCTAGCAGCCGACTTGATTATTGATCCATCCCCTGGGGTTGAACGTCATCACGAGTTCGCGTGAAAATTTAGGGGATTGCATTCAGCCCGAAATTCGCTAAATCCCTTCGAGACATGAAAGATGGACGAGACCAATTTTTCCCTTGCTATCGTTCTTGACTTGGGGTCATTAATTCATTACTTGAGGTAACTAACAATTAGAAGTGTACTGATTCGTTTAGCAGCAACAATGGGCCCTTCATCACCAATTTGATTAACCGATTGCATCTCCTTCCATTCGTTTGCACACAACAAAAAACATGAAGATGTGCGCGGTCAAAGTGCGCGTGATATCGCTGCGAGGCTCGATACGGTGAGAGGCGAGTTACAGTCACTACTATGCTGCCGATGTGTCAGCACAACGCGAAATCACGCTGATTGTTGTTTTATTTCGCTCGCTATTTCACTGGTAAAGGGTAAAACGTAATGCGTTGAATTTGTAATTTTGATTTCGTGGAGTTATCTCGATAATGAAGGATTTTAGGGGAAATTGTCAAAAGAGCTTTTTTGTAGCTGAGAAAATTTCCTGCAAAAAAGAATTCCTGAGATTTTTCTCTGAATGCTGCAGTTATCGAGATAATTCAGGGAGAAATCTGGGTTTTGAGCGAAATTACGTTCGTTTTTGTTTTCTTGGTTTGTTGAATTATCTTTTTTTTTTTTTTTTTTTTNAAAAAATATAAACAGTAATAATAATTATATCAGTAATATTACTGACAGTATAGTATGGTATAAAGATGGAGGTATATACACATCTTCGATAAGCTGAGAGCTATTACATTTTGTGGTTCTGTGGTTCGTTTTAGAGAATACCTTTTTTGCGTTTAGATGTTAATTTTTCCTTCGTTCAGGAAGTTTGTAACGATTTCTATGCACTTTATGTCTAGTTTTTTCAAAATGTTTTTGATACTGTACGGAGGGAGAATTTGATTCAATCGAAAAGAACTATACATTTGTTGCCTTGGGAGATCGTATCTTGGGCAGTCCCAGAGTACATGGTCGAGATCTTCACTCTTTTGAATTATCTCGATAATGAAGGGTTCTAGGGGAAATTGTCAAAAGAGCTTTTTTGTAGGCGAGGAAATTTACTACAAAAAAGTAGTCTTGAGGTTTTTCGGTGAATGCAGTAGTTACCGAGATAATTCGGGGAGAACTCTGGTTGTCACTTGATTACTGCTCTTGTTACTAGCTTTTTTTAATTGGAGGCAGAATGTCTGGGGTCAATAATAGGCTGCATAAGCTGAATACTGGACTGGTGACTTCTTGTGTCGTGGGACTTGCGTTGTCCTACTACTCCTACGTCGTAGAAACCGCCAAGGAGCAGGATGAGAACTACGAGGCCATGTGCGATATCAGCGAACATGTCAGTTGTTCCAAGGCCTTCATGTCTGAGTGAGTGGATTCTTGTTTATTTTGTGCCCTATTGGGCGACACTGGTGCACAGTTTTCGTTACGTGCGAGAGAACTCATGCGAAATAGGAAAAATTGAGGAATTTATTAGTTAGGAATTTATCTAGAGAAAAGGATTTGCAGATTATTTCCGGGATGTCTAGAAAATTAATGGGTTTACCTAATTAACTGAGAATACTTTCGTGTTTTTTTATTAAGTTATTCACTTCAGAGACAGATACTGGAAATTCGAGATGAGGACGAAATAACTTTCGAACTGAAAATATTTGAATTTTGAATTTGAATGCAAGAAAATGTCGAATTCGCGTTCATATACTTTTGAAATTCAATCGAATTACGAATGTTCATGACTGGGGAGGGATATTATGTCGTTAAATGGAGATTGGGAGCTTTTATCATGTTTTAATTATGAGAACAAAATTCTTGAGTTAAAAATAGACATTTTTCCAGTGAGGAGACTTACGAGAAAATAATCACGCTTCATTCATTAATCTTTTCTCAGATAAACTGGTCAACGGTTTAGTCAAGAGGACACATTAAATTTTGCGAGATTTCTAAAAAATGAAGAGATATTTACCCTCGTGCAACAGATAAAATAAACCTTGTGATTATGTTGTTATTCTTCCAGATATGGGAAAGGATTCGGTCTAATTCCAGATACGTCAATTTTATACATGCCTAATTGTCTCTATGGCCTAGGATTTTACGCAATTATTGCGATAATAAGTGAGTTCAATCGAAGAGAATAATCAGTAGACAAGCTTCCCCGAAGTATTTCTATTCAAAATTATTAATGCTATTAAAATTTTTACCAAAAATCCTATTCTATTACAAATTATACATTAGAGCAACGCATTACTAATTCGTATGCGAAAATCTAAATCTATCGAAATCAGTGCAAAAACACTGAATTTTCAATAGATTTTTTCATTATCCTATCAAATAAATAAATTTGCTACAACAAGAATACGAAATGAATAGTTGATGAATTGAATAATTCCAGAATAAATTTGTCTAATCAGTTTCATAATTTGTGCCAATCGAAATTTAATCTTTAAAATTGATTTAATTGTTTAAAAAATCAATAGAAATGCCTTCTCGAAGAATCTCCATTCAATCTCTATCGGAAATCTATTAAAATTCCATTGAAAATTACATTAAAAATTCTATTCGTCTTTTACATCAACATTTATAAAAAATTATGCAACATCAAAACAATACATTAATGACTCGTATGCAAAAATGGAAACCATCAGACGAATAACTCTCACAAATATTTATTGAAATCAGAGAAAAAAAACTGAATTTTCGATAGAACTTCAACAGAATTTCTTACAACGACTGCTAGAATTTTTTGTAATTCTGTCAAACGAAAAATTTCGTACAATTGAATAATACCAATAAATTTTCCCCAGGTGTATTCAATAAATTTAGCTACACAGTGGTCCTGCTGAGTCTCTCCGTCCTCAGCTGCCTCTCCTCGGTGTACCTCGCCTGGGTACTTTACATACTAAACTCAGTGTGTGTCGTCTGCGTCAGCACATACATAGTGAACGCCATTATTCTCGTTCTCAGCTATCGAAAACTCCGGATATTGACGCGACCCGTCCCACCCGCTTACTCACAAAAGTCAAACAGGCGGAAGAGACACTGAACTCGTCAAACACCACACCTCAAAGCAAAGCATCAAGTGCATCCGGCCTTCGATCACTGTAAATTTTTCGACTAAATAAATTCAACATCTTGACACTGTTAAAATTTTTCCATTTTCCTCTTTACAATTCTTACAAACATAATCTCTCGTTAATCCACTAGACTGATTCGTAGGTTTTGACAATAATCCATTGATGCAGGTGATGTTAGAACAGGTTACCATTACAGTTAATTCATGTTGATTATTTTGGATGGACTGAGTTACCTATTTAATTCACTGTTTCATGAATAATTTTTTTTATAAATGTATCCATGCAAATGTCAGGAGTTTTTTCAAGGAAATTTTACGGACATTTCACGGACCCTTCAACATTTAAAAATGCGAATGGACTCTATATCAATAGACAGATTTTTTCGTAAAAGTTTCAAAAACGAGAAAACTCATAAAAACTTCCCAAAACGTTCCTGAACGTCTTTTTCTTGTGAATAAGGACAGTCAGCTTGTAATTATTTCGCTGATGGTTTTTTTTCCAGAGCCTGATGAAGCTAAAATGATTAAAAAACATCACAAAATGACAATTAAATAAATTTTGTTTCTATCCCCTCCAAAACTTCTCAAAATAACTTTGAATTTCAGGGAAAACTCTCTAAAATACGAAAACGACAGTCAGGTTGTAATTATTTGGTTGTTTCTGTGATTTTCACTGCCTGATGAAGCAAAAATAATCAAAAAAACCTCTCAAAATGACAATTAAATAAATATTGTGTCCCTTCCTCAAAAATCCCATGAAACAATTTTGAATCTCACGAAAAATTCTCTACAACGCGAAAACCCCCCGCATGTCACGTGTGAAAAAATCGTATAAAAATTTTCTACAAGGAATTTCCAACAAGAAAGGCATTTTCCTACAAGGAAGGCATTTTCTGTACGTAAGTACCGAATTTCTATCGGATTTTCGTATATGATATTCGGATATTTCTATACGGAAATTTTTTACACAAATTATTTCTATACGATTTCTAGAGGTTTGAAACATTTCGTATGGAGTTGCGACATTTCTCTACGTTTTTCTCAGGAGCGCCTAGACATCTTCCGCATGAAATAGTATATTTCGTTACGAGTACGTAAAAAACACTTTTCCCACGAGTATCGAACGATATTTTCTCGTCCGAGGATTGGTATTAGCCCTTCCCCAAACTCGTAAAAGTGAAAATCACTAGGGAAAAATATCGTTCACGACTAATGACATGGGTTTTTTTTACTCTCGTGGTTAGCCAGTCCTCCCCCTCGGCTCGGACGCCAACTCCACGCCAGTAAAACCCCATGGCACTCGTCCTGAAATATACTATTTCATCACAATGTGTGGAAAACGGACGTTCCCCTAAAAAAAAAAACAGCACTCTTCTGTAAAAAGTGACTTTTTCGCACAGCGTGATGAAAAAAAATTTATGTAAAAATTTATGTATAGAAATAATTCGTATAGACAATATTCGTACAGAAATATCCGAATATCATATACGGAAATGCTATAGAATTCCTATACGATTTTTCCATACGCCTTTCTTCCTCAAAATACTTTTAAAAAAATTCTCAACTGATCTCTCAATAATATTCATGCTTGAATAAATCCCTATTGCTTCGACTGATGCTCGCCAAGATGCCAGGGCTCTTCAGCGGCTGGGTTTCATCGAGTCTATTCAACTGAGAGTTCGATTGATAAGGCCCCTTCTCCGGATACCTGTCCCCATTGTCCGCCTCCACATTGAAGCTCTTGCTCCTCAACAGAGAGGACTTGTAGGTCCTCTCTGGCTTCACCGGGGGTTGCACGTGCCCCCGAACGGGGCTGTAGCTCCTGGAGCCCTGGGGTGACTTGACATTCTTGATGGAAATGTTGATCATGCTGCCATAGTTGCGAGCCTGGGAGGGCCTTGAGGGCGCAGCCACTGGGATCTGCTTGGACGTCGAGCGTCGCGACGTGTGCATCGAGGTCTGCCTCCCATGACCGCTGGAGTGCAGTTTGCGAGGCAACGTCTGGATCCCTGGGTAGTGATCCTCACGGTCGTGATCGCTGGTCAGTCTGCTGGTGGATTTGCTCAGGCGACCCAGAGTGCTGGACTCAACCCTGCAGTCGTAATCTGAAATGTTCCTGGGGGGCTTCTGGGACCTCTCGTGGTGCCTGCTGGTGGTCCGGCTGTGACGAGACTCCTGGAGGGGCTCTCTGGGTGGAAAATTGAAGGGTGGAGGTGAAAAAGAGGCTGAGGGAACAATCGAGGCAGGGAAATTGCGCATTTGAGGCGAATGAAACTCTTTTTAAAATTTATGGCTGACAATTCTCGTTTTCATTTCGTGGAGAATTTTATCGCGGTGCAAATTGTGAATTTCAGGGGAATTATTGGGTAAAAATTAGTAAAAATCAGGAGAATTCAAGTTGATAGAGGAATTTTCGATTTTCTGCTGCTGAAAAATTCGGAATTTCATTGAATTTTCAGGAGAATGTGAAGTTTTATGATTTTTTTTCGTTTTGAATCGAATTTAGTGTTATTCTAGAAAATGGATAGTCAACTGCCGATGAAAGTTCAATTTATGAAAATAAAATGAAATGAAATTTAATTGAAATTTCATGGAAATTTCCATCACATCATAGTTTCATTGAAATTTCAAGGAATTTAGTCATTAGAAATAGTAAATTTGAGTTGAATTATTGTGTAAAAATTAGTAGACATTAGGAAAATTCAAGTTAATAGGGGAATTCTCGATTTTGTGCTGCTGAAAAATTCGGAATTTCATTTAATTTTAAGGAGAATCTGAAGTTTTATGATTTTTTTCCCTTTTAAATCAAATTTAGTGTTATTCTAGAAAATTAATAGTCAACTGTCTATGAAATTTCAATTTATGAGAATAAAATGAAATAAAAATGAAATGAAGTTCAATTAAAATTTCGTGGAAATTTCTATCACATCATAGTTTCATTGAAACTTCAAGGAATTTAGTCATGAGAAATAGTAAATTTGCGTTGAATTATTGTGTACAAATTATTAGAAATCAGAAGAATTCAAGTGAATAGAGAAATTCTCGACGTTCTGCTGCTGAAAAATTCAGAATTTCATTGAATGTTCTGATCTGCAGTTGTATATTTTTTTCCCTTGAATTGAATTCACCGTAACTCTCCTAGAAAATTGATATTCAACTGTCTATGAAATTTCAGTTTATGATGAAGTGAAGTGAAATGGAATGAAATGAAATAAAATGAACTAAAATGAAATGAAATGAAACGAAATCAAACGAAATAAAATCCAATCAAATGAAATAAAATGAAATAAAAATAATAACTTTTTTTTTTTTTTTTTTATGCTTATTTTATATCGCTTCGAGTCTGATGAGACTATATGGCGATTGATCAAGACTTTAAAAATGGTTAGATCTCACCATTCTACCCGGCCAGGAATCGAACCTGGAACCTATCCGTTGTGAGGCAACGGCCTTAACCACTACGCCAGGCCACCGGACAAAAAAAAAAAAAAAAAAAAAAAAAAAAAAAAAAAAAAAAAAAAAAAAAAAAAAAAAAAAAAAAAAAAAAAAAAAAAAAAAAAAAAAAAAAAAAAAAAAAAAAAAAAAAAAAAAAAAAAAAAAAAAAAAAAAAAAAAAAAAAAAAAAAAAAAAAAAAAAAAAAAAAAAAAAAAAAAAAAAAAAAAAAAAAAAAAAAAAAAAAAAAAAAAAAAAAAAAAAAAAAAAAAAAAAAAAAAAAAAAAAAAAAAAAAAAAAAAAAAAAAAAAAAAAAAAAAAAAAAAAAAAAAAAAAAAAAAAAAAAAAAAAAAAAAAAAAAAAAAAAAAAAAAAAAAAAAAAAAAAAAAAAAAAAAAAAAAAAAAAAAAAAAAAAAAAAAAAAAAAAAAAAAAAAAAAAAAAAAAAAAAAAAAAAAAAAAAAAAAAAAAAAAAAAAAAAAAAAAAAAAAAAAAAAAAAAAAAAAAAAAAAAAAAAAAAAAAAAAAAATAATAACTAGACAAAAATAGGAAAATACTTCACCTGTCATAAGCATTCCTCGACGAATATGACTCCTCGCTGACATAGTACTTGTGTGACCCATTGTGATTACCAGTGTGGCCATTCGATCTCGTAACTTTAATCGTTTGAGTCGTGGGGCTGGTGACCCTGGGCGATCTGGGGGGTCTCTCCGGGGGTTTCTCCTCGATTCCATCCACCTGGTCCACCCCGATCTCCGGAATGTTCCTGTCGATGACGTTGTACTGGAGGTACGTCGAGCTGTCGTCGGTCTGTGTCAACTGGGACTTGGAGTCACTGTTCCTCTTGTTCTTTCGCTCTGACGAAGCCGACCGGAGTTTGCCCACGAGTTTCCGGAAGGACTCGCCGATTCTCGACTTCGAGGTACCTCGAGGGCTCGCTGATCGACTCGTGGGCCTGATGTTCTCCTTTTTCTCGCGGTGCAGGGGGATTTTTATCACTGGCGAGGGGGAACGGGATTTCGGGGCTGGAGGGTAATGACGGGGCTCAGGCTGATCTGGAGACTCTGACCAGTCCTGATTGCGACTCTGCCAGGTCCGGGTGATCACGTTTACTGGGCTGGGGGAGGCAGGGGGGCGAGGGTCCGGGTAGGGGGATTTCTCGTCTAGGCGGCGGGACACCTAGGGCAGGAAATCAAATGATTCAGTTGTGGGTGGTGAATATTTTCAGGAATAGTATCTGTCAGATCTGAAGACTAATCAATTTTTATGTGAATTAATAAAAAAATTGAAAGAAGAATTAATTGTTAACGCTTTCTCCACGAAATTCCAATTTGCATCGGAATTCTGTAAAATTTAGGTCTTTACGTTCTGGAAAAACGTTCTGTTTTTTTCTGTAATAAATTCTTGGATTTTTAAGTTCTGGGATTTTTTTCTATAATATAAATTCTTGGGAATTTTCCAAGTTCTTTTTCTTGGATTTGATTGTGAGAAACAGTTTACGTCCAAATTCAATTTCTAGGGGCGAAAGAAACTAAAAGGTCGACATAAACAACAATTGATCGATTTTTTAATAATTCGGGCAAATGTCTGACCAACGATGCACGTATCTACTGTTGAAAGATCCGGGAACAAAAACCTTGCGCTGTAAAAACTTTTCTGTAGTTGTTGAAGAATTCTGTGGAAAATTCTATTAGTTTTCTTCGCCAATTCTATTGAAAATTACGCAACTTTGCCGTACGTTTTCCATTGATATTTTTTTTAATTGAAAAACGTTATTTCTATACATATAACTCATTCCATTGGGATTTTTTCTATAATAAATTCTTGGGGATGAATTTTCCAATTTTTTTTCTTAGATCTTTGCATGAGAAACCAATAAAAATAAAACGAAAAAAAAATAAAAAAATTCTTCTCCAAATCTAATTTCTAGCCTTGAATGAAGCTGAAATGTCGACATAAATTCGCATAAACAACAATTGACCCATTTTCTAGTATTAAATATTATTGTTGCTTTCATTTTGATTTCAATTTCGATAGAAATTTTAATTTTCAAATAACGTGTACACACGTCTGATCAACGACGCCCGCATCTACTGCGGAGAACTTCAGTAAAAAAATTTCCTCTGAAGACGTTCAATTTTGAGTTCTGAGGACAGGTGCACCGGCAATTTCCGAATACTCTAAACTGTTCTAGCATCTATCGCCTAAATGTCAAACCCCCTAATTGCCCTAACGATCGCATACGTCTGAGAAATAAAAAAAATCATCAAAGTAAACGGATGCAATAATTATCGTGAAATTTCTTCGCCGGATCAGGCGCATCCTGGAGCCACAACGGGCCTCAACAAAATCCCCTCAACTTTCTTTCTCTCCACGCCCAATTGTCTCCCATAATGAATCCCCCATCCAATAATAACAGCCTCCAATCAAATAATAATCCCCACATAACAAATCACCGCGACTTAATCCCCAAAAGAAAGTAAATCCCTCCGCAATTAAATTTCTCCAATTCCCACCTTTTCACTGACTTGCTCACGAGCTCTCCTTCGTGCCGGTGGCGATGGTGGACTAGATCGTCGATGAGTCTCGTGATGTCTCCTCGTCGAAGTCTCGTAATTTCTCGTGTACGTAACAGTCTCAGGTCCATTCACACTTATCGTACTTTCCACCACGTAATGCTTCGGCGAGGCAGTAGAAACGCTCGAGTTATGATTCTGTTTTTCCCCTGGGAATAAAAAGCAGAGCATGAGATAATTTTTGAAAATTCCTCGCTTGTTAACAGCAATGTTTATTCCCCTGGAATTATTCACAGACGTAATAACACGTTTTCTTTATTAGTTCTCGTGATTGTGACATTAAAAAGAAGTCAGTGCAGCACTGTTGAGCATCACCTGATCCCTGGTATCTCTCGGACCACTCGGTGATGCCGTGAAAGTAGCCGGAGGGCGATGCTGACTCTCTGCCGTTGGCTCTGCTCGAGGTTCTCACTTGACTCGTATTACTCGCACTCTTGTAATCACGATCGCGTGGTGTACAGGATTTCATGGTAACATTTATGAAGCTCGTGTTAGTGGCTGTTTGAATGGGCGGACCTTCGGGCTCCAGGGAACCCTGGGAGGATCGCGATTCACTGCCGAAGTGATTTTCCAACCACTTCGAGGTCTCGAATTTACGCGCCTCGTCCTCCTCCTCTGGGTCTAGGGGCTTTTTTGTCAGGGCGTCCTTCCTGTCTAGGGGTGTTGTGTCACCTGGGGAGGCCCCGGGGTATGAATGACTTTGTTATGCACAAGCGCAACTGTTTAGCATTTTTTAAAGTCTATTCTATTTTATTGAATTGCTGAATTGTTTCGTGATTTGGCATTCTTGATTTTATTTGGGGGACAAGGAATTTCGCCATTAGAAATTCACTATTTGATGGAACAACTGTGAAAACTGGAAATTTTAGAGCGTTTATTCCATGAAGATGAATGGACATTGAGAAGATTGAGATGAATTTATTTGAATATTCATGGTTTGATTGACAATTCAGGTTAATTACGGAATTCTCATCGTGTTGTTGCTTAAAAATTTGGAATCCCATCAAATTTTCGTGAAATCTGAATTTTCAGGAATTTTTTCCACCTAAATCGAATTATTATTCTTATTCTCTCCTGAATTACTAGTTAACTGCCCATAAAATTTCATTCTTTCCCAAAAGTGTTATTATTATTTTATTAAATACGACTTTTTTTACGTGATGTCTTTTATCATGAAATTTGTCAATAAAAACGACTCAGAATATAAAAAATAATGATTTTTATGGTGAAAAAAGTGTGGAATAAAAGAAAACTACAACAATTATTCAATTATGTATGAATTACAAATAAAGAATTTCAAATTTTTTTCTTACTCCTTAACCCCTTAATTTTCTTCATCTCCACAATAAACTATTCCCAAAAGAATTGAAAATTCGTACTGAAATACTAGATTCCGATATTCCAAGCGTTCGCATCCCGTTGTAATAATCAAAAATGAAAAACCAATTGTTCTCCAAATGAAAACTTCCTATTTTTTTCGAATTCTCCTAATATCCACTAAAAAATGTCTGTCATCATGCTGCCCTGTATCCTTCAATACTCAATAACACCGATTAAAAATGATTAATCATCGCCATAATTGATTGACGCCAATTCATGAACATTAATTACCACACGAATGATTTCCCAAGCACTTAAATCCCCATTTCCCCACTAAATACCCCAAAAAATCGAAAAATTCTTCTGAAATACCGGGTTTTGGTAGTCGAACAGTCCTCATCCTGTCAGGCGGTGGTGGCCAGTCCCCGCTCCTCTCCCCCTCCGTCGCCTCCGCGACGAGCCTCATCTCCCTCCCGATCCTCTCCCCCCCGGCGACATAATCCACCACGTCCTCCTCCCTCTGCTTCAAAAACCTCTGCGAGCTCTCCTTCCTCGTCTCCCCAGGCTCATTCCCCTCCCCCTCAGGCGCCTCCACGTCCCCAATCTGCAGCCCAATAACCGATATGACACCCACAAATTACGGAAACCCCCAAACCCCACCTCATCAGCCACGTAATTACCTCTTCGTGCTCGACACTCTTCTTCGTTTCCGTCACGATTGCCCCATCCGGTTTGAATTCCTTCCGCTCAAGTGTTTTCTCCGTGTCAATGACTTTATTTGACTTTGTCTTGTGCTGTACAATTCGCGGTCCAGTGTTCACTGCCACTTGTCTAGATGATTCGGCTAGCGCTAGCCTCAGATCCCCCCGATTACTCCTCACCGCTTGCTGGTAAGCCTGAAGATGTCAATAGCCCCCGTATTAAAATTAACAAAACCGGATATTCACGTTTTTCAAAGATAAACGCCTTCATTTGCCCCTTGAACCCACTCAAAATTACCGTTAAAATAAACACGATTCTGCGACTAAAATAGAAGAAGAATAACTCGAATAAAAATTCACGACTAAAGGCGGCCCGTGTTGCCCCACCCCTAGATAATCACTAAATACTTCATTGTCCGTCTCAATTCATTTAAAATCATAGAATTCACTGAAATGTAATTCATTTAAAACCTTTGAATTCATTAAAATGTAATTCATTAAAAACCTTTGAATTCATTAAAATTCAATTAATTTAAAAACTCCAAAATTATAACAATATGTTACATTATCGCGATGGCAGCCCGAAGAATCACCACTTGAATCTACCCATCCTCAACTCTCTCCCGTTGATTTTCATTCCGTCATAGCTAAACCTGCTCTCCGGCCATTGAACGTTTTATTCATCCTAGAGAATGTACAGTCTAGCAGACAAAACTCTCAATGTACCTGTGCCCCCCCAGTGTAAGCACATATTTCGCAATAGGTATTTCGAGTTTATCCGGCCTTCTTTACTCCCTCTCACTCTCGAGTGCTTCACCACTTCAGCCGCCCCGAGAGGACCCCTCAGACTGTGTCTGAGGTACAATCACGGGTTTACGATGCGTAACGCTTGGTCATGTATATCGTCATGTCTATTCCGTATTTCGTAATGAAATATTTCGATATTTTCGCGGTGATAAGGGGGATAGATGATGGGTGGGGGGGGGAGGTGACCTATTGGTGATGGGGTAATACAATTGGTGGGGAATGGGAGATAAGGAGAGAACAAAAGGATTCGGAGGATTAGTTTGCGAATGTGTATAAGGGGAGGAATTGCTGGGGACTCTCAAATGATTTTTGAGAAGAATTTCAACGGCTAGGGAAGAGGTCTTTTGATATTAGATGAACCTACTAGTTTAAATATTTACAAACTGCATTGACTCAGGAGGAGGTAGGTAGGAGGAGTAGGTTTTGTCTAAAAACGCAAGAATATTTACTACTCATTGAATTAGGGCGAACAGTGGTCGTTATATTTCTGGGTGAACCTACTTGTTTCACAGATATTGAGGTATAATAGGCTCACCGATTAATAGTAGTAATTTAGATGTGTTACTCGACACTATTTGTAGTTCAATGAATTCTGTGTAAAAAATATCTGCTGATATTTCCCTGCGCACCTATTAATTTTTAAGATTTTCCCAAATAGGCTAGATTTTATTAGTAGGGTGGACAAGGATATTGATAGTATGTTGGGAGAGAAATGTCTGACGACACTGTTCAAGGCATCAAATTGATTACGAGAAAGCTCTCTTTATATTTCTGAATGAACCTACTTGTTTCACAGATATTGAGGTATAATAGGCTCACCAATTAATAGTAGTAATTTAGATGTGTTACTCGACACTATTTGTAGTTCAATGAATTCTGTGTAAAAAATATCTGCTGATATTTCCCTGCGCACCTATTAATTTTTAAGATTTTCCCAAATAGGCTAGATTTTATTAGTAGGGTGGACAAGGATATTGATAGTATGTTGGGAGAGAAATGTCTGACGACACTGTTCAAGGCATCAAATTGATTACGAGAAAGCTCTCTTTATATTTCTGAATGAACCTACTTGTTTCACAGATATTGAGGTATAATAGGCTCACCGATTAATAGTAGTAATTTAGATGTGTTACTCGACACTATTTGTAGTTCAATGAATTCTGTGTAAAAAATATCTGCTGATATTTCCCTGCGCACCTATTAATTTTGAAGATTTTCCCAAATAGGCTGGATTTTATTAGTAGGGTGGACAAGGATATTGATAGCATGTTGAGAGAAAGATGTCTAGATACCCTTTGCAAAGCACAAAATTGTCTATGAGAACTGTTTTCTTGATGTTTTCGCATGAACCTACTAGTTTCGCAAATAACTACAAAATAAGCTGCACTGAAGCGATAGGATCCAAAGTGAATAGGGAGATCACTTGGAAAATATCTTTAGAAATAGTAGGTTTTTCTAAAAATTACGGTAGACACCGTTCCTTCACGAACCTACTAAATTAAAATTTGATTCCCAAAATAGGCTGCATTAAATCAATCGGATTGGAAGACAAATGTACAAAGTACTTTTCAAAAATTAAAAGAGCTAATAAGGTCTATATAGAAATGACAGGAGACTATTTATCCATTAAACGCACTTCAAATGTCTTCTAACACTTCCCTCTGAGCCTACTAATCTCAAACAAACTCATTAAATAATCTCACGAAATCTTTAAACTCCTATCATTTCACCACTTCCTCAATACCGATGAAAATTTTTTCTCCCATTAAACAGAATGAGACTTTAATTCAAAGATTACGCACATGTAGATAATCTCAAACACCCCGAGAGCAGTTAATTAAGGTGAGAAATTGAAGTTCTGAATGGAGTGAATTTTTTCCTCATTGTTCAGAATTATTCTCGCGCATCCACGGGCTTCAATAGGTTTTCCTCACGTAATTGGCCAAGTTGTAAAACCCGTGGAGCTAGACATAAAAGGCATGGGAATGATATATTACCTCATCCGTTATATCCCCAAATTGGCGTCGATCCTCGGTCTCCAGTAGTTCCTCAGTCTCTTCGCGACTCCTCACTATCGTCTCGTTCAATTCCTTCTGAACAACTGGACCAACTGCACTCACTGGGGTCTCCCATTCCAGTTTTTTTGGCTCATCTCCATTAGTTTTTCTCTGCAGTTCAGACTTTTTTTAAACTGTATCTTTGAACTTAATTATTTTCTAATAAAAGGAATTGTCTGATCTTTCTTTATAAATTTTGACTTTGACAGAATTTCAAATCGATTTTTTTGCGGAAAAAAATTATTTTGAAATCAATATTCAGGGAAAGGTAAAAAAAAATTAACGTCGGGGCAATGTCGGCGCAATGTCGGCTGCAAACATCGGGCCAATGTCGGCCGCTAACGTCGGGGCATTGTTGGCTACCAACATTGGGATAATGAAACACTGAGTTCAGTTAAAAATAAATCGTCATAAAAATTCCATTCGGAAGTAAATTCCTAATTTATTGGCAAAAATGAATTGGCTATGTTATGATGAAGGCAATTTCCCACTTGTTTTTCTTCGTTCTCACGGCTAATTAGAAATATAAAAAAAGAGTGCCATAAAAATGCACCTCTTGCGTCGTATGCTCTTGCTGCTCCACATCCTCAGTGGTGTTGGTGGTGACAAGCGGTCCCGAGTCCTTCACCACCTCTCCATCCTCCAAAACAACCTGCCTCTTCACTCTCGTCTCTATCTGTCTCGTCGTCGTTATCTCCTTCTTCTTGCGCGTCTCCCATTCCTCCTCCTTGACTGTTGCCACTTTACTCTTCGGATCGTACTGCAGCAGAATAACAAATATTTTCTCTCTCTCTCTCTCTCTCTCTCTCTCTCTCTCTTTCTTTCTCTCTTGATCTCCCGGTAAAGGTGGCAGTGACGCAATGGGAAATTGTCTGCATGAATTATTCGGGGGGATATTAGATTGTTTGGAATATTTACTAACCAGAAGTCCGGAGTGAATCGCACTGACGGGCGGGCGAGCCTCGTATCTGCGCGTTGAAATCACCTCCATTCTTGGACGATGCTAAATGCCAGCCGAGTATCGCAGTACTTGGCTCCATCCATGCGCGTCTCGGCCGTGACCTGAGTTTTAATACACCTGATCATTTTACTATTGTTTTTACGTCATTTTACGAGGTATTTTCTTGTTTATTCCTGGGATTAATTCACCAGTTAACACCTTTGAATGGGAAAATTATTCAATTTTTATGATGGAAACGTATTTATTACCTTGGTAATTGAGAGATTACCTCGGGTATTAGTGAATTTACGGGACATTTTCCTTCAGATCGAGGCGGTCTTCGAATGTCGCCATCATTTTTTAATTTTACGAGACGTTAATTCCGGAATTAATACGTGTGGGAATTCTGAGTGAATGAATGAGTTTAGCTTGTTGTTGTACTGAAGGGGAATCCATAAATGTGATAATTAGACGATCAAACAAATTAAATCATCAAAAGATCTAAGAGCTATTTAGATTTTTTTATCTTTGAAATTTCCAGGTATAGAGGAAAACAATCTTAAATGTCTCTGAGAAAAATCTTTAAAAAATCTCTCAATGTAGAGAAAAATGTCACTGGAGTCTGCCTTTTACCCAAATTTACTGAAATTAACGTCTGATGTAAATACAAAAAGATTAATCTCTTTAAATGGCAAATTGTATTTGGTAAACGCTATTTTTGGAATGTTATCATAATTTTTTAATTTTACGAGATTCGCGACGTTAATTCGGAAATTAGTACGTTTAGAAATTCTCAGTAAATGAATTTATCTTGTTCTTATACTGAAGATATATCAATAAATGTGTTAATTAGACGATTAAATAAATTAAATCAAAAAATCCAAGAGTTGTTCCCACTTTTTTTTCATCTTTGAAATTTCCAGGTCCAGAGGAAAATGTTAATGGACATGTTAACATTTGTAGTATATCAAATTCTCTAAAAAACAATCTCTTAAATGTCTCTGGAAAAAGTCTTCAAAAAATCTCTCGATGGAGAGAAAAATGTCACTCGCCTCTGTCTTCTCCCCAAATTTCAATAAATTAACGTCTGATGTAAATACAAAATGATCAATCTCTTTAAATGGCAAATGGTATTTGGTAAACGCTATTTTTGGAATGTTATCATAATTTTTTTATTTTACGAGATTCGCGACGTTAATTCGGAAATTAGTACGTTTAGAAATTCTCAGTAAATGAATTTATCTTGTTCTTATACTGAAGATATATCAATAAATGTGTTAATTAGACGACCAAATAAATTAAATCATAAAAAAATCCAAGAGTTATTCCCACTTTTTTTTCATCTTTGAAATTTCCAGGTCCAGAGGAAAATGTTAATGGACATGTTAACATTTGTAGTATATCAAATTCTCTAAAAAACAATCTCTTAAATGTCTCTGGAAAAAGTCTTCAAAAAATCTCTCGATGGAGAGAAAAATGTCACTCGCCTCTGTCTTTTCCCAAAATTTCAAGAAATTCGGGAATTAACATGTTTAGAAATTCTCAGTAAATGAATTTATCTTCTTCTTATACTGAAGATGTATCAATAAATGTGTTAATTAGACGACCAAATAAATTAAATCATCAAAAAATCCAAGAGTTATTCCCATAAAAATAAAGGAGGGGAGACCGATTTATCAAGAGTTATTCCCACTTTTTTTTCATCTTTGAAATTTCCAGGTCCAGAGGAAAATGTTAATGGACATGTTAACATTTGTAGTATATCAAATTCTCTAAAAAACAATCTCTTAAATGTCTCTGGAAAAAGTCTTCAAAAAATCTCTCGATGGAGAGAAAAATGTCCCTCGCCTCTGTCTTCTCCCCAAATTTACTGAAATTAACGTCTGATATAAATACAAAATGATCGATCACTTTAAATGGTAATCGAAGGCCACCCTCAGTCCTGTGGTTTTCACCACCCACGCGGTATAAACACCGATACAGTATCGATGGTCAAAGAGACGCCAGTGCGACAATTCGTTGTCCTTGTCCAGTCATCAGTTCCAACAATAATGTATTAATCCCACGTAATCGACTCTTTTAGGCGTCAAGAATTTGTCACAAGGTTTTAGCATAATTTGGTGAATGGGAACGAAATACAGAATGAAAAATAAAAAAAATCAACGAGAAATAAAAAGACGGAGGTGCCTGGAAGTGTCTCATGACGTCAGGCTGGACGTACACAGATTGCGTACCTGTTGCTTGGCACAATCAGTGTCGAACTTGGTTCCTAACCGTCCTTGGGGGACTCTAGGGCTCGTACTGCGTGCTGAGTACTGATTGTGAGTGACTCGAATGATTCGAAAGTCTAGTGAAATTCATTCGGAATTGAACGGAGAAAAATAGAAAACAGAAATTAGTGAAAACATGAAACAGCAATTAATTTGCAATTGAAATTGTTTCCTCGGTATCTTATATCTGAATGTTGAGGATGCGAGGTACATTCTACGTGACCTTTTCCACTTCTCCTTGACATCTGACGGCAAAAAATCGCGATGAATTACGATTCACATTTTTTTTGTTCCTGTTACACTGCTAGGGAAGAATTGAAATTTCAGTGAGTGAGGATTTCTGTCGATTTTGATGGAATATGAATTTACAAAAAAATTCGTGGAATAATTGAACTGCAATTCACAGTTTCATAGATTTTCCATTGAATTGCGAATTTTCAGTGACGAAATTCTTTGCGAATTCCGGAAAAACCGGTTTAGTAGTAATTTTTATGAGAGAAATTTTGAATTTCAGTGACAATTCAATGGAATCCTAAATTTTTGAGCAGCAGGAATTTAAGAATTTCGAATTCACTTGCAATTGCAATCAAAACCCAACATTCACTACCAAATTACACTGAATTTTCCTCATTTCTATCGATTTTCATGGAATATGAATTGAAAAAAAATCATGGAATCATTCAACTGGACATAGTTTTCTTCAATTTTTCCATTAAATTGTGAATTTCCAGTGCCAAAATTCTCTGAAATTTCAGTGGAATTGTTGCGATAAAAATTTCCAAAAAGTAGCATCGCTTTTTATTGAGATGAAATGAAAATTGGAAATGTGATAAAAATTGCTCGTTTTGTCATGAATTTCGAGGAACGTCGAGGAACATTGACTGAAAATTAAGAAAACACTAAAAACATTCAAGTGAATAAATTTTTAAATTTTGAACTCAATAAAAAATTCACCCTTTTTGATTCAGAATATTCACGTTCAATTGAAAATTCAAGTACCTAGTGAAATTTCCACTTCATTTCTCCTCGAAACTGTTCGAAATCCCCAGAACCTTATCTTCACCTCGGAATTTCGTCACTCCTGCCCTCTCAGATTAACATCAATGTCACTCATCTATTCCGAAAATTATTACTCTACGAAATTAATTTTTTAAGCCGTTTTCGACGTGTCCGCGTCGCCTACACGTCCAGTCGCATTAAGACGACCTCATCCACTCCCCCTTTGACATCTCAATTCTCAAAATCATCATAATCACAAAATTACATAAAGTCCCATTTGAATTAATTCCGCCGCGTGCGTTATTCATGTCACGGACAGAATTTCTCACCGATTTTTTTTCTTCAATAGCCCTCAACATGACTCAGAGACATTGAATAAGTCTCGGTATGTCCCAAATGTCCTGTTTAATCCACTGCAAGGAGAGCCGAAAAGAAATATTCTCAGTGCATGCAATGTAATGTACGCGCAAAAGGGTCCGGTGAACTTTCCAATTTCCTTAGTCGGTAAGACAACCCGTTTGCCAACGACCTCGAGCGCCCGGGGGCTCAGCGCGAAACCTCGTCGATGATGTGTTATTCGTCATTGTCGTCGGACGTTGGAATTAACTCCAAAAAATAATGCGGCTGATGCTAATGCATTTACCATTGACTTTCCTTCCTTCGTTACTGATTTGGCGGATGAGAAAATTGAATTCAAATTTTTTTCGTTTTATTTTTTATAATAATTAATTTTTTTTTAATTTTTAACGAAATTTATTGCAAGAAAATTATTTTTTGTGCGTATTTTACAATAGGCCATCGCTCGAGGGCCTTCAGCCATTATAATATTTTTCGTATTCATCGTGGAAATTCAGAAAATTGTTTCTTTTGTCAGCTTTAATTTTGAAATTTGTTGTAAGTATTTGAAATTATATGCAATTGGATTTACGATAGATTGAGAATTTAAAGCAACAATTGCTTGAATTTTTACTATTTTCAAATAGTTTTTAATGTCTCGTGAAGTTGAAATTTATGATTCTTTTAAATATTTCAAAAATTGACTGATTTTTTAATAATAAAATTTTCTCTCAATTAGTTCTCAGAAATTCAATTTTTTTCACGTTTCCAAAATAGAAATATAAATTAAAAAGCCATAGGTTTTGACGTTTCTATAGACTTTATTCTTCAAAACAATACAAAAATCAAAATTTTTCAATCTCATCGCGAAGTCGCGTCCACGATGCGTCATTCGTCATTGTCTTCGGGCATTGAGAATTAAGTCCCAAACATAATGCAGCTGATGCTAATTCGACTGCCATTGACCTTCCTCTTTCGTCATTACTGATTTCACGCACGAGAAGATTGAATAGAAATTTTTATTCATTTTTTCCGTCAATTTCGATTCAATTTAAATGAAAAATAATTTCTTATTCATCGTCGAAATTATAAAAAATTGTGATTTTTTGCCAACTTGAATTTTAAAATTTATTGTCAGGGTTCAACGTTATATTTAGTTGAATTTGCAACAGTTCCTTGATTTTTCCCAATTTTCAACCAGTTTTCAGTGCCCCATGAACTTGAAAGTTATAATTCCATCAAGTATTCCAAAAATTGACTGATTTTTCAATATCAAAATTGCCTGCGACCTGCTCGTCGTAAAAAATTTCAAAAATAATTATTTAATAATTCACCAAATGTCTTAAAAAATACTATTGGAATTCTATTAAACAATTTCCCAGCTTTCAAAATAGAAATTTCCAACAGCAAAAATTTCATAAACGAAAACGAATACATTTTTATGTTTCTATACAATTTATTCCACCGAATATCTTTCGCTTGAATTATCAATGAAAGGAACAAAAAATGTCACAGGAAGAATGAATATCCCACCCAATTTTGCCTAAAATGTCTAGCGAAAACCGAACGCTCAGGGTTTTTCCATCGGATAATTTCCCCCATTCTCAACCCCGTGACTCACAATTCGCCCCGAAAAAGGTAATGCGCCGCTCGGGATGAAAATAAACTCGAAATAAATAAAAAAAAAACGGGCGAATGAAAGAGCGATTAGAAAGAAGACGAGAGTTTTCCTTTTCTGCGAAGTCAAGTAGAACCGGTAGAGCAGGGTAGGACAAACAGTGCGGAATTGTTGCGGCTCTCCTTGTCAGTGCAACGGAGAGCCACGTGACCTCCTCAAGGACGTGGCCATTTTGAATGAATTAGGAAGCGCGCTGAGTTTGACGAGCCGTGATTCACCGATCGCTATTCCATCCCGACATTTTCATTACCGAAGAGAGTGAAAATCCTCGCGGAAAAATGTGGCTTTTCAGGGGACACGTGAAGCGGTTTTTCTCACGGTTTCAGTTCTCTTACGTAACGTCACTGACAATGTGCGCCGCTCCTCTCATCGCTGGTCGCGTTATTATTCAAGAGGAGAAAAAGGGGAACGAAATTGTTGAGATGGAACGAAGTGCGGAATTCGCGATTAAACGTCGACTTCGATCGCGAAAAAATCGCGAAAAAATTGTGAATGCCATTTGAAGTGTACGGTAGCAGCGCCAGATCGGTCTGGAATTGTCATTCAATCGGGAAAATGCATTGAACTTGTAAACACCGGGCACAGCACGAGGGAAAAACAGGAGTTGGAGGGGAAATAAAATGAAAAGTGAAAACAAACAGGCACTACGTCACATACCTGTTTCGCTGCGGCGTTGGCAGGCGTTCGTTCGCGACTGTTCGACCAGTATTTTCTGACAGTTGGGGAAGGTGGAGGAGCACACGAGAGCTGGGTAGAGGTAGAAGTCCTCCACTTGTAGTAAATGGTAGGAGAAATGAAAAGATCGCAATGGGGAATGGAGGGAAGGGCTGCCCAGCCTCGCTTCAACGAGACTGTCTTCTCGCGTGATTTTTGTGGACAGCAGGTACTCCTACGAGATTGCGGGGCTGCCTCGGCGGGAGTAACGGTGATGGCTTGCGGGGGATGAGGAATTCAATGGATTTTCATTTTGCGTTGGGTTTTGGGGGTTCAAGGCTTCTGCTGATTTGGAGACTGGCGCCAGGGAGACGTTGACATTTCAGGGACAGTTTAGGAGGAGTTCTTAGGCGAACGATTTTCATTTTCAATTCTCAATTAATTGAAAATTGAAAAATTTATCTACACGAGTTTTCTTGATTTCTAGAAATTATCGGGGAATAGTTCAATCGAAAATTGCGGTTTCTACTGATTTTTTCATCAAATTCTAAATTATATAGTCTATCCTTCTTGAATGTAAAGAAATAAATTTTTAATTCAATTGAAAATTCAATGAAATTTCAATGTTTTTGAGACGAGGAAAGACACAAGTTCCTGAAATTACTTGAATTTTCAATCAATTGAAAATTTAAAAAATATCCACATGAGTTTTTTTGATTTATAGTAATTATCGCGAAATAATTGAATCGAAAATTGCGGTTTCTACTGATTTTTTCATCAAATTCTAAATTATATAGTCTATCCTTCTTGAATGTAAAGAAATAAATTTTTAATTCAATTGAAAATTTTAAAAATATCCACATGAGTTTTTTGATTTATAGTAATTATCGCGAAATAATTGAATCGAAAATTGCGGTTTCTACTGATTTTTTCATCAAATTCTAAATTATATATTCTATCCTTCTTGAATATAAAAAAATAAATTTTTAATTCAATTGAAAATTCAATGAAATTTCAAAGTTTTTGAAACGCAGGAAAAACACGAGTTCCTAAAATTACTTGAATTTTCAATCAATTGAAAGTTTAAAAAATATCCACATGGATTTTTCGGATTTATAGAAATTATCGGGGAATAACTGAATCAAAAATTTCAGTTTCTACTGATTTTTTCATCAAATGCTAAATTATATATTCTATCCTTTAATATAAATACATAAATGTTTAATTTAATTGAAAATTCAATGAAATTTCAATGTTCTTGAAACGAGGAAAAACACGAGTTCTTAAAATTACTTGAATTTTCAATCAATTGAAAATTAAAGAATCTAATCACCCGAATTTTTCTGATTTCTCGCAATTATCATGAGATAGTTGAACTGAAAATTGCAGGCCCAACTAATTTTTTTCTTAATTTGTCAATGGAGCCGTTCTACGCGTTTATCTGCGTGCTTTTTAATTTTTTTTTCTCCTCACGCTTTCATTCGGTTCAAGCGACGAGTGTTTCATGTGGTGCTATCTACCGATGAATGTGGAATACTATCTTATCCGTTTCGTATGATAACATTTGTGGCGGTGTCATGGTGTCAAAGTATGCCCAACAGTTCAATGAAAAATTTTTCACCGATGATATATATACATGTGAAATATATATATTATATATATATGAAGTGAACAAAAATTTACCTCTGAAGAATTTGAAATTGTCACTGAAGAATTTGAAAATGCCGCGTGTTTTTTTGGTGAATAACTTCGCGTCACATATTGACCAATCAAATTAAGGATTAGCGGTCAGGCAGTTTCGAGATATTTCTATATAAACAACTTCACGTTTCTATCGTCTTTAGTAAATAGGACAAGATCTATGCGCGCGCTCTCGCGCGCGCTGATCTATCCATTTGTTGAAATGAAGAAATGGAATTCATTGAATTTCATTTTTTCATGAATACCTTATAAATATTGATAATGAATCAAAGAGAATTCGACTAATGATTGAAGTGAATAGCGAAGTAGAGTAAAAGAATCTATAAAGAATTTTTCATTTTCAATGAATTATCTTCAATTTTTTTAAATAATCGGCCTCCATAAAAGGACAGAATTCTTTAATTTCACTGATGATATATATACATGTGAAATATATATATATTATATATATATGAAGTGAAAATAGTGTATTTCGTAACGAGTGCAAAAAAGTGTTTTTCGTGAGAAGACCCGGTAAACCGCGATCAAACCGAGCGAAGCGAATTTCAGAATTTTTCTGACGAAAAATTGCATTCCTCACACGGTCCAAAAGTATTTTCTGACGAATGTGATTATACAAAGCCACATTCGTCAGAAAATACTTTGTGGACTTTGTGATGAAAATAACTATTTTGGCGAGTGGGAGGTTTATATCACGAGCTAAAAAACATTTTTTCACGAGTTACGAACAATATTTTTCATCACAATGTGGCGGAAATTGGACTTTTAGGCACGCGGAGCGTGCCGAAAAGTTCACTTTTCGTCACAGCGTGATGAAATAGTATATTTCNTCACATATTGACCAATCAGAATTAAGGGTTAGCGGTCAGACAGTTTCGAGATATTTCTATATAAACAACTTCACGTTTTTTTCATCTTTAGTAAAAATAGGACTAGATCGCTCTCCGCGCACGAGCCCCGGCCGCCGCGATCTAACCTCCACCCGAGTATCTCGCCTGACTCCCGTAGTATTTGTTTACACCGCGAGCACAGCGCAATAACCCACCAGCAAATCAGATCACGTCTCTCCCCATATCCCCCAGTATCACTAGTGAGTCTATCGCAGCACGTTTATAACGCAGTTGTACGCGAGTCACGCAGTTCTAGCGTCCAATAGCCAACCGAGAAAAACATCATTAAAACTAAAACAGTGAACAGTGGATTGTGATAATTTATCTGTGGCAGTTGATCCGTCATACGCAGTTATCGAAGTGGAGATTGTGGGGCAGAGCCGGGGGACAGGGGGCACGGTCGTGTGTTACGATCGTCTTGCCGTTCGCCGGGTTCTGCTTATTTTTCACTCGCCGGAGTAATCGCGCTATCCGGCCTGTTCGGGCCCCAGTAAAATTCGTAATACTGTTGTGAGACGATTATCGCGAATGTAACTGGTGATTGTGGTACGAGAGGTACGAGTGGAAAAATGTCTCAGAGAGATACCGTCATACATCTTGTCGCCGGCGGGTGGGTTTCATTTATTTTATAGATATTTTTTTATCGATCAAACCGGTTCTCACCGACTACTCTCGACACTTTTTGTTTATCCTCGCGGTGTTTATGCACATATTGAACGCTGATGATGGCATCGTGACCTAGGACAACAGTTTTTCGAGAAGGGAAATTGATGAACGGCTGTGGGCGTGCGTCTGTGTGTTATGTGCGCAGCGAACGGAGCTGAGAGGGGAGGTTGGGGTAAAACGGACTCTTGACTTTTTTAAAATGTTAATGAGGGGTTGAAATGTTGATAAAATTCAATAATTTTTTCGCCAATACAAAGAGCAATTCCTTCCCTTTGTTTCTGAGTTATGAATAATTTGAAAAAAGTCTGAAGTGTCCATTTTACCCCACCCTCCCCTATTCGACCGCCTTTTGGGATTATGACTGACAATGCAGAATCACAATTGGAAATGCCACATTCACGTGGAGTTTTTTAATTCTATTTTTTGTGCAATTGCTTGGAGAATGAGTGACTTTTGAAAAATCCTGTCAATTGAAGATAATCATTTCGACATTCTCCTCTGCAATCACTCGTTTATGGAATAATTGCGCAATTATCGTAGAGAATTGTATCAACTTCGCAATTCAAGTCTGTTTTGATCTACTCCAATGTTTATTAATAGGGTGGCGGGGACTATGGGCGCAATTGTGACCTGTCCCCTCGAAGTAGTCAAAACACGATTGCAATCGTCAACCTCTGGCTTCTATCCACCCCCCAACAATGGTGAATTCACCTCAGGACAATTCACATGTAATGGATTCCCACCTAAGCAGCAGAGGAGGAAATTGTGCACAGGGGGATCCACAAGGTAATTAAACAAAATTTTCCAAAGAAGGAAAACAGGAAATTTTTTCCTTTTTTTTCTCTCTAAAAATTGCAATATCTCCTGAACTATTGGTCGCACCGAAAAATGTCATAAGAACTTTTTTGTGGGTTGACAAATTCCCCACAAAAATTTCCTCTAGCATTTTTTGATAAATTCATTAATTCAAGAGATATCACGATTTTATTATTTCATGTTTTTAAAAGATGTTACGATTGTTCTAAAGCAAAAAATTGAAATAATTTTCAATATCGTGACGATCAGACGAGTCGAGACGACAGATTGTCAGTTATCTCGATGTTTTTTTTCATCTTTCGTCGTCTGAAACTGTCAATTAAGTCCTGCATCAAGCAGAAGTTGGGAAAATTATGAATGAATAATAATAAAAAAAGTAGAAAAAATTCTCAATTTTTTCAAAGGGCATTTTTAATTTATATTCAGAATAAGTTGAATAATAAGAAATTGAATAATGTATCTGATTTACGGTGACAAACGGCGGCCTGTCACCCAATATCATGCAGGGGGAAGACTAATTTCGTAAATCTTTTCCCACACTGTACAGAGACATTTATTACGGAAAAGGCTCTTTGAAAAAAGTTGTAATATTTTGGAGAATTTTTTAATCGCACTTTTATCACATAAAAACAGCAGATGACTACATGCCACTGTTTGAAAATTGAGATATCTAGCTGTCACTTCCCATGAGGAGTTAATGTTTTGTCATTCACCATGGAAGATGGCAGCTAATAGATAATTTGCCACAGCGAATCAGATATTTGTAATTTTCACTTTTTTCAACTCATTCTGAATCTCAATTAAGAACGCTCTTTGAAAAAGTTCAGAATTTTTTATATTTCTTTTATCATTCTATCATAATTGTTGGCAATTTCTACACGATGTACCACTCAACTGAATTTTGGATTACGAAAGATGAAAAAAAATCCAGATAACATTCGAAAGATAGTTTACCCGGGCCTTCAGTACTCAAAAGATTTCAAGAGTGATTGTTATCTAATTAATGGCTGCAATATTTAACCGTAATAAAATATTACAAATTTGGCTATCCCTGTTCATCATCAGGTATGCCTTCGTGGCGCTGTCCCACTGTGGTGCCTCACCACCCCCCAACACTGGCCAAGTGAGTCCAGGTTTAATCGAGTGCCTGAGGTACATAATTAAGTACGAGGGTCTACGTGCACTTTTCAAAGGGCTCGGACCCAATCTCGTGGGGGTAGCGCCATCACGAGCGATATACTTCTGCACATACTCGAAGAGCAAGGGCTTCTTCAACTCGTTACTACCTCCAGACAGCCCAATGGTGCACGTGTGCTCCGCGACATGCGCTGGTGAGTCACCAAAAACATTAATTAATCCCCTCGATTAGTTCATTCAGCTCGATGGATAAGAACAACCCGATGGAGGATGAATATTTATGGGCGATTTGTTTGAATACAAAGGCACTAAATAAAGGCTAAAAGCTCGCGATAATTATTATAATTATTCAATTGCGGTGTGAGGTATTGACATTCGCACGAAGATTTTTCATTGTTATTTTTACAATTTTTAATTTTTTTGCGAGAATTCGACGGTTTTTTCTGTGCATTTCAATAATAGTTTTGTTGGAGGTTGATAAAGTTATGTGTTTATTTGTAATTCGTTTAGAATGCATTCATTCTAAATGAATGCTCGATTTATTTGATCCAAATTAAGAATTATAATAGGCCGTGACTATTCGCACCATTGCGTGAATCACTCCCGTACACTCCATACACTCCACGCATGC